AGCAAGACCAAGGCGCACTCGTATGTATTGACTTTAATAATCAAAAATAAGTTGAAACGAAAATTTTTCCTTATATTTCATTTGATTTTATTCATTTTGGTAGTAAACATTCAAATTTCATAACACATACATTGCCTTTTGTTCTCAATGTGTTTCCCTTCAAGCTCTGTAGTCTTGAGAATAGCCAAAATCAAAGCGTTCCAATACAAAGTGAGAAATCCAGGATTATTGTAGTTAATGATCATTTTTCCCTTCTCATTATTATACGGCAATACAGTCACTGCATTCAAATCTGCAGTCATCACGCAATTGTTATAGTTCATTACCTCATTGTAATTTCTTTCAGGTTCTAAATTTGATGAAGCTAATACAATATTTCAGAAGAAAAAGTTGCTTAAGTAACTGTGTGATGAATGTGTTTGAGAGTCAATAGCCTGAATTGAAGTTGTGAACTTTACCTCTGTCAATTTGTGTCGAAGTGTGGAGTTTATTTATTTCCAACACGTTGAGTACTTCGAGCCTTTTCAGTGCGTTTTGTTGATGTAACAGAATAAGTTTTGGCCGTAAGAGCAGAACCCTGATAACCTTAATTCCTGCGTTCTGTGGGCCTTTCAAATCAGTGTGTTAAGATAGTGTGTAATGATGTAAACATAGCATTTGAATGACTGTTATTACAATTCCATTGGAAGGACAGAAAAAGCAAAAGTCTCCAAAATCAACATTGTGATCTCTACAGCACATCATCGCAAAACATGCCAACCTTCAATTTGATACCGAAAACTAGCGGTTTCGACATTATGTTATTTTGGTGGAAAATAAATGATCCTTTCAAGTGTTTTTCATGCGTGAAGCTCCGCAAAACACATCGATGTAAAATTCCACAAGAAAAAATCATTCAGGGTTCCATAAGAAATGTAACGCTTCACAGTTTATCGCAATGTTATTCATTAATAGCAATGTGACCAACTTTCTCTTGTCTGTATCAACTGATGATCGAAATTTTGTTCACAAAATGATTCTTGCGGTTAATTTCAATTGTCATCATCAATGCACACAATTCGCGAATGTCATAGTTTTGATGTACCTCCCTGTAGTTTCTACTGGCTTTTGGCCTAAACAGTCCAGTTAACAAAGTTTCCTGCAGACAAAAGGACATGATAACAAGGGTTGTCAGCAGAGTTCATGACCTTCATGCAGCTTTCCAGTCCTCACTGAAAAAGACGCCTAAACATTCTTAGCTCTTATCTATTACAGGAATCACTACCACTACTCCTACAACGACAACTCAAGGTAAATGAATGAGCTCTCTTCATCACTTCCCAATAAATCCATTTTTTTTCCTTTCTTTGACAGATTTCTACAGAAGCTACTCTCCGGTTACATTTAAATGGCTTCCTGAATTATCTGTGTATTGGGCTATTCTGAAACTTGTTATGTTTTACTCTTTCCACAGTGGTGACCACAACCACTCAGACCTCAACACCGACAACGGCAGGTATGCCTTGATATTTGCCTTTCAAGCACTTTAATGCATTCAGTTTAGCCGGCTGTAGTTCAGGCACCTTCACAAACCCAGTTTGTCGAAAAAAAGGGCCATATAAAATCTGACGCTTTTCCCATC